GTAATGCAATTAATGCAAAGGTGCAAGCGAGCTGGAAAAGAATGACTAAAGTAATCCCTGGAGAAGGGGACAAGGGGAGACAAAAAACAAACATAAATCTCCAAACACAACCAAGTGACTGATGCGCGACCGAAAAAATCCGCCTGGTCCTGGTGTCAAACCAGGCGGATTTTTTCGGTCGCGCACCATTCACCTTGATGTGTGTGGAAATTTGTGTTTGTCCTTTGTCCCCTTTGTTCCCCTTCTCCTGCGGCCGATTATTGTTTCCGTAACATACCGGAGCGGGGGGAGTTTCGATCTCTCTCTCCTCGCTATTCCGGGCTCCCACCCGCACGCACGCCAACAACTCGCTTAGAATTCACTTTTTTCTCTCCATGAACCCAGGTATTACGAAGTTGAATTGCGATTCAAGATGCCAACAAAGAAAAGCGAACGAGCTCGCGCCGCCTAGTTGAAATTGAACCGCTTCGCGGGCGAGATATATGCAGACTTCGATTTTCGCCGATGGGCAAAGGTCTACGCACACGCACGCCATATAGTGTGCGAGCGTTCGACGGGCACGATGGTTGGGAGGCCGCCTCGAGGGAACCGAAATAACAGCAGCCCGGTGCCACGAATTGGAGCGAGTGACCCAGTCGAAACAAAAGACGTCACTCAAAACTCCGCGCAAGTTCTCTCAGACAAAGAGATTCGGATGAAAGCAGCAGCGGAGATAATCAGGGCCAAGTTCAGTAGGGGCCGGAGGAGACAACGTGGCGCCCTTTTGTGTAAAGCAAAACTGGAGCCACATTAGGAACGTTCCCCGCGAGCTCCGCGCTTCTCAGAAACTGAGAGAACAGGGAAGAGCGTCTGTTGTCGAGTTGGAGGTCCGCGAGCGAGCACCTCAAGTTCATGGTCCCCATACGCACACGCAAAAAAAAGCTAACAATGCCAAAACGGAACGAAATAAATGACCGAAGACACGCGTGTCTCTCAAAACTTGAAAGAAGCACAAACGAGAAACATCCCGGCGCGCTTTGCAGGCGGGTGAAAATGTCGGGTCAACCGTTGAGTCCAAGAAACGAGTACCCCAAAGGGCGCAAAAAAAAAAAAAAAAAAAAAAAAGCTTTGGCAAGAGCCGAGACAGAAAACGGCACCGTGCGTGCCGTGGCCAGTGCGTGTCTGCAGCTGTATTGATGCAGTCACACTAACCGAAACTATCCTCTCGTAGCTTTGGTTTTTGCGAGCGCGTCGGGTAATATAAGGATCGTGGAGTTTATTTCGGGGTAAATGCGAGAGGAACACTGGGAAGCAAAAGAGGATGGGGAGGAGGGGGTGCATGCCTTTGCGAACGAAATGAATTTCACCCCGCGCAGCGCGCTGGAGTTTTCATGGCCACTTCTGGAGACGCGGCGAGACTGTGGGGGTAAAAAAACAAATGGCTAAGGAAAACGATACATGAAGGTGAAAGAGGAAACAATGCGGGCGCCGAAAAGGTGCGTTAACCTTGCGAGCGAAGGTGCGTAAAAAGGGAATCCATTTGACGGCCGTCCAGTTACGAAGTCCTATCTTCGTCGGCGCATCCGCCGTGAATCGCCGTGGAGTCACTGACTGAACAGGGAAAAAGGCAGGCGCTCGCGAGGGACTTCCAGCTGAACGCCAGATGCCGCTCTCTCAGCCGACTGGGGAGTTGCCCGTCACGAGAGCGATAGTCATTCAAAATTCGATCGACTACTTTCTGGGCCTTCATCTGGCCGTGATCCGAAAACGATTCAATGCACTTAGCACTGGATAACGCAAGTCTGCAGGAAAACAGGAAACACTGAGGGTATCACTCCTCGCGTCATTAATGCCAACACGAGGCCATTTACGAGTATCTCTGTGCGCAGCAAACAACTTGACGTCAACTCTTTCCAACAATTCACACGTTTCCCGTGCAAATGTTTATGAAATAGCAAAGGAAAAAATAAAAATGTATTAAAGAGACAGGTGCTTAGCAGAACTGCGCAAAATTCTGAAACTAAAATTCCTTTCACGTCGCCTGTCCCCACTATACGTCCACTGTTTTGTTGATGTAAAAAAGCAGATGACCCACATGCTCGCTCATTAAAGTAATCGCTATAACAAGCAGGTGTATACGCAACGCAGCACCTGCGATTTCTCTTCCTCTTTTCACCACCGAAGACGCGTAGGCACGCGCATATTCACCGACACTCATGCACGAGAGTGGCGAAATTCCCTCCTTTAGCAACGCCAACTTACCCGTACGCGCTGCAAAGTCGGAATAGCCTATTGTTCAAAGCAGCATTTCACCGCGACAGCAGCCGCCGCGAATGTCAATTAGAATCAATTACGGCCATGATTAGGAGTGCCGTGACGACATTCGCCAGCCGCGACATCTGCGACGCGTCTGTGGTGTGCAGGTGCAGCGAACGGGCTGTCCTGAAACGCTGGAGCGAGCGTTGCAGCTCGATTCGGCGAGCAACCTGCTCACTGCCCGCACCCCAAGAGGACCGCTGCTTGTGCCAAGACACCGGAGAAGGTCAGCGCGACATCACCTCGAGTCGTTTCTCACTCAAGCTTGCCTGCCCCAGTCTCTTTGTCTTTCTGCTTACGTGACTGTTCTTCCAACTACAGGCACAAAATACGCCCTGACGGGCGAGCAACGCCTGGACGCTCGGTTAATCTGTAGGTGGTCTGAGTTCGACGATAACGACGCAAATATTAGTATATAAAAACAAGAAAAAAAATCTCAATAGGATGTGTTTTCATTGGTGTTTTTGAAGTCACTTCAGACGTCGTACACGGCGTTACTGCTACACTGGCAGGTAAACATTCCGACACTTCAATTAGCTAGAGGTCTATAACACAATATATATAGAAAAAAAGACATCTGCAGGTGGCGATTCTAGAATAAAATGCACGTGGCAACAGAGCCCCCCCCCCCCCCCCCCCCCCCAAACACACACACTAACTGCACTACGCATTTCCCATCATCAATGTGGACCATCCCATATTGGTCAAGATTATCGCATCCCGTGTAGTTGTTGGCAGATATCTTCATTTTAGCTTGTGTTCTTTTATTGCATCTAAATCGGAACAAACAATGGTCCATCTAGCATTTCTTTTTTCGCGACACAGACCGCGACTTATTGATGACTATTTTTTTTTGCTCGCTTTGATTGGTCATAGCACGCCCGTAAAAGCTCCACTCGTAGCTCTTTCGCCGCGGTTCTCACATCCGCCTTGCAAAGTGCCTAAGTTAAACACCAAAATCCACGGGACTAGTCCGTTCGCAATCGAGTCCTGTCGCTGAATGCTAATAGATCGTTGACTGGGCAACAATCGGTGGCCCGCCGACATCCGCACACATTCTGTTCGCCGACAACAGGAAAACGGCGTTGTGGCATTATCACTTCCGACTTCTGCAAATGGATTCTTAAAAATAAAGAAAAAAGCTAAGCTCCTTCGATGTACTATCTACCATCTGTACCCCTCCGCGCAACTCGCACGCCACGGGTCAGTAAAAATTTTAACTAACGCAGTGGCGCATTGCGAGGGAACTCCTCGTCGTCTCACAATGAAAAAAGCAGGAAGTTGACCGCAGGAACCGGCAGCGAAAAAGCGAGGGACGGCTGCACCCGTAACGAAAACCTTTCTTTCTCGGGGTCCCCTATGGGCTTTCAATAGAGTGCTGAAGAAGGAGACGAGAAAATGGGCTCGGCCGCCGCGATGAAGCTGCCGGTCTTTTCCTCTTCATGAATCAGATTCATCCAACCGCTCAATGCGGAGTCCATCGCCAACGTCTTGCATAAATCGTTTCGACCTGTTCGATCCCTCGACTCCTCCTCTCGGCGTCCGTGGTACGAGTTCTCTTCCGGCTGTCTTTCTACATCCCCGAATAAAACTGCCGCCCACGAACGGGAGTTGTGCTATTCCGGGTCGAAGACGAAGCGCCCGTGTTGCCTGATATTCCGCCTGCTTCCCTGTACAGGGCCAAAGAACTGTGCGAAGTAATTGCAGCGAGGAGCGCAGCGCTCGCGATAAGCAAAGGGCTGAGAGAAGTGAAGACCGCAACAGGGGGAAACCCTCAGTCTTTCCTCCCCGCCAGGCGGCCATGATCGATAAAACTTTGATTCCGTCAAATGGACAAGATTTATCGACACCTGCCTCCGCGCGTGCGGGGAGCACTCTAGTCACAAGAGCGCCTTCAGGCTAGAACAATGGGGCTTTAGTCTTAGAAAGTGGAGCATGCCAGCCCAAACAAAAGACATCACTCGGCGGGCGGCCCGCTGTCTCTGACAAAGAGAGGTAAGAAGTGACGAGAGTTGGGGCCAAGTTCGGTTACCCCTTGTGTGCAAAGTTAAACTGAGCCCCGCCAGGATGACTCTCCTAACCGAACTGCCCAAACACTAAGTGGAGAGAGGTTACGTTCGCTGGCAATTTTACGCTTATAAAAGAGCTCTCCGAAGATCGCATATCCTTGAACAAACGTACTTCGATAAGCGATTTCTCCATCGCTTAACAAAACAAAAAGAAAAAAAAAAACGGACGAGCATAAACTTTATTTAGTTAAGGGTAATTTTTAAAATAATCAGCAAGATAATTGCTTTTCGGTGCAAGAATTTTGCAGGTACTCCGAACATCTGTACCGATTTAAATATTAATATTGACTTACATGTTTAAGTCTACATTCTTGCTAAGCAGCTTGCGCGTCTTATCGCAACTATTTTTTTTTTATGTTGTTGTTTTTTTAAACGCGCCCAGCAAAAGCTGCTTGACCGACGTTGGAACCCGAACAACCACGACCATAAACGTGCAATATATCCAAAACGAGAAATACATGCGGTGTAAGAACCCGGTAATAACACTAAACTATTGCGTTGTCACTATCGGCTGGTGCAGGGGTTACATAGAATCCCCAGAAAGGTTTACATGGTCATGAATATACGAACGATAAGTGGAAGTTAAGCATTGCGCGTGGAAAAATACGTGCAGTTCGATGAAGCAAAATGACTCACCAACTCATCATCCCCGGATCGGAACGGCGACCTCTGTTGAGGAAACAGAAAACGAATGTGTAACGCTGTCATCTTACCGGCACTCAAGACGACTAACGGCCGACGGCATTTGCACCTTTGGAACGGATAAAACGAGGAGGCCGCGCCGGAACACCTTACACCTGCGTCCTTATACAGAGGAGCCAGTGCTGTTTGGCGTGTTTCCCGATGATTTACGCATTTGTCTGCGCATTTTTAGGGCAAAAAGGTGCGCGTCGCTTAGGCAGAGGAATGTACACGCCATTGAGAGCACGATATATTCGGCAGGAGCAGTGCCTATACGTTATCAGTCACAACAATGAATGAAGCGCGTCCATGAGCGTACTTCGTAAACACTCCACATGCGACAAGTCCGTACCAATCCCAACAAAATGAACGACACACAAGAAAAGCACAGATCAGCGGCCAATCACTCTGGCTGCTGCGCTATCGCTGTATCGACTCTCGCGTTTTTGTGTACCTTGTCGCGTGACCTTGGAAGCCAGGGCTACGTCAACAAAGAACAGTCGAGGCTCAATCGATATGGCGCCGGAATCAGCTGGGACACGGGAAGCTCCGCAGAGGCGCCAGCTATCTCTTGTTTGCGCCGCCCGATTACAAACGCTCACGTTTGCGGGACCACTATCAACAGCACCAGCTTTCTAGTCGTCGCTTCGGCGCGCCGGCGTGTCAGCCTCCCACTGCCGCGGTCGTGCATTGGAATTCGGTCGAAGCGGCTGCAGTATGACGAGGGCTGATGGGCGCGCACAGTTCAGCTCCGAAGAATCGTTTGGTGCAACTGGACCAACACTTGGCTAAAGCAGTGCTCGCAAACTTGGCTGCTGCTTCAATTGGCGGGAAGCGTCGTGGAGGAAGCTTCGAATGCAAGAGTCGTTCCAGATTATTTCAACTGCACTAAAGTTGAGAAATGCGTACACAGAGAAAATGATACTCCGTTTTACTTCAAGTCCGATCGCAGGCAATGCTACGATCCTCGGGCAGAGAGCGCCACGGCGCTCGTTTATTTATCTTATTTTTTTGAGGGGAGGAGGGGTTGTTTTGAGTTTGTTATTACTGGCTAAACCAATCACGCAGAGAAAAAAAGCGCTGGTCACGGCGCATTCACTGTGCGTGATTCGTTCAGCCGGTCATAGCCTATGCACAAAGACGACGAACGAGCGCGAGTTGTGACGATGCAGTTTTGGCGCAGCTTGATTGAATCGCCTTTCTGCGCGATGCCATCTTTGTCCGTTGCGCTGTGGAACGCCTTCTGAGCATGCGCTGTTGCTCTGCTGTGCGGTAGATCAGACGCTGCTGCGTATCCGTCTACAGATCAGTGACTCGGCATTTTGAGCCCGGGTGATGAGCGGTGCAAAGGTCTATAGCCCTGGCTGCGGTCGGGCTTCGCAAAAAGAACGGTGCTCCAGTCTTTAACGTGCCAGAGAACTTCTGGTTCATAAAAAGAATGAACAAAGCCCGCCTTAACACCGCTGCGTGAAGTGTCGATGAAACGCTTAACCACCAATCCTCCAAGTGAACGCCAAAAGAACGAAGAAGCGCGAGATCTGTTCAAATGTTTCGACTATTCTTGTGAGCCAACTTGCCTTTTCTAAGACATTAAACTGTATACAGCCGAAGGCCCTGGTTAGATCTCCAGAGTTGTTGTCCGTGCAGCATTCATGCTTTTTAGCACTGGCGACATAAGTAATCTCGACAGGCTTGCAAAGACGGAGGGACCGGAAGTCGCTCGGGACGCAAGCGGCAGTTCATGTTTGTAAACAGCAAAACGGTCTTATAGGAACAACAGTACCCCCCACCCATATATATATATATATATATATATTTTTTTTCGGTAACTTCAGCTTGAGAGCGAGCGATTTAACCGAAAAGAACACGTTCCTAAATTGTTCGTTTCCCTCTTTTCTTGACCCTGATTTTTGGCGCCTGCCCTCGTCACCGTCCCCCCCCCCCCCCCCCCCCCCCCCCCCCATTTCGGCTCTCATCCCTGCCACAGAGAAATGGCGAAAAAGCGTCAACACGAAACGCGCTTCTTACGCAAACAAAGCGAGAACGATTCTGCGAGTTTCCATATCCGCAAGGGGCACAAGTGTACGGAGGGAGGAATTTACGCCGGAAGGGTAATCAAGGCAGCTGCAACCCAAGACGTGGGCCTCCGCCAATTATACGCCCCTTGAAATCACGATTTGTCGGTGCAACGCCGAAGCCGCGGAGAGGAAGGCATACGTGGCCCACAAACGGACGCGCCGCCCGCAACGTCGGCGATTACCGGCCATTCCAGCCGAGAACAATTAACAGCCAAACGCTCGAACAATTAAATGCAAGGCGGTCCCATGGGCCGGGTCACCACACAACTCAGCGGAAGCTGATCGGCCGACGATGAATGTTTGGCTTGCTACTCGTAAAGGTAGCCCACATCCGTCACACGTTGTCTTCCCTCTTCTTACTAACTAAGCCCATTATAAGAACAAGATATTTATCATTTCGTAATTCCAGAATTGCTAGCGCGATATTCACTGAGAGACCGTTCGAGACAATGAAGCCGGGCGGCGGAACCAACAGGCAAGCGCGGTGTTTTTGTTTCGCGTGAAACATATTCTATTTTATACTTCTCTGACAACCTCCACTTCTCGCCGTAGCTTTCGCATCCTATATTGGAGCGAGTAGCACGACGTGCGCCCAGCGGTAACACGTTATCAATCGTTCCCGTCGACGCCCTTGACACTTTTCTCTCGTCGCGAATAAGGAAACGTTCGAAATCTTTGTACCGCCTCGTTCCAGATAATCTAGCGAGGTTAGCACGCAAGGCGGCCGACACAGCTGAGACGCGGATCTGGGGCTCGGGGACAGGGAACGACTGCTGCCTCGTCAAGCGCTGGTCGTCGAGGTCAACGTAACTTGCCGGGTCTGCATTGCTCGGGGGCGGGCGGGGGAGCTTGCGACCGCCGGAGCGGAATGAAGACGAACGGCCCATCCTTGAGCCAACAGGCCCGTCCAGTGGCTCCCATTGAATCAATGCGCCACTTCCTCTCGGGTCTTTGCCCGTACCGCGCTCCCTTCTCGGCCAATCAAGCCGTCGTTGAGGCCGTCGTTGAGACCGCCGCTTTAGCCCCGGCATGCTCCCCGATGCCACTTGTCGCGACTCGGGCCACTATTTACTCGACACTCCCCGCCGTGGAAGGACAGTATAAAAACGGCTTTTCTTTCATCTGGCAAAACATTGAACCACAGCAAGGTCGCGACGAACCGGCGTTGATTGCTGCCGAGTGGAGCGTATGCGTACATTTGATGCCATCATGGGCAACATCGCTCATAATTCTCGAAGTGAAAACGCAGGGCGCTATAGGTTCTTGTAAGTGGAACTTCATGAGGGCGACACATAAAACACCAGGCGACCTGTACGAAACAGGCCCGATACTTATCGGCTTTCACGCTTGTTCAGGGGGGAGAATGTCAGAAATTTAAATTTCCAAGGACGCCGAATAACTCGGATGTACATTTCTCAGTTATTTACTAACACGGTCAAAATAAGTGGCCAGTACACTCTTAAAAAAAAAAAAAAAAGAGGAGGAGAAATGGAGGGAAAAGTGAAGTTCCCCCCTGTTGCCAACGGAAGGGAGGAAATTGCACCTGTTCCTCCATTTCACCGATTTAGATGCAGCGCAACATTGTGGCGCTTGAAAAAGGGACAAAAATTCCTCCCCCATGTTCGCGGCGGCTGCGGCGGTCGAACCGCCGCGGCCGCTGCGAACATGTTCAATGGCGGTGACGGCAGCTTGAGGGCTTGGTTACCGTCACCAAGCTAGAGCAATCCCACTGCTGCCCATGCGCGGTGCTAGGAGAGAAAAAGCGGAGCTGCGGGGGCTAGCGGAGGTACACTAGTTAAAATAAAAGAGCGAAGCGCGGCGTGTGTCTTGCGAGAATCACACGCCGTCTGTGCGCGCTTCGAGATCGCGCTTGTTCATGGTGGACGAAACCTTGCTGCTGCGATAAGTACAGGTGGCGACTTATCACTGGCATGGCAAGTACAACCACTTCCGTCGCGTTACATGCTCAATATACAACACTACATGGTTTTAAGTCAGAGTTGGCACCCATTAGATTCGGTGTTCCACAAGGCTCTATTATTGGGCCTTTATTATTTATTTTATATATAAACGACATTGTGACTATACCTCAATCACGCGATATTTTATATGCTAATAATTCGAACGTCTTTTTTTCTTTTTTCAAGTGGAGACTTGCTTCACCTCGAACAAGTTTCAATAACTGGCTAGAACATTTATCTGTGTGGTTAAAATATAATCAATTGCTTCTAAACGCTAGTAAAAAAATATATATATTATTTTTAGATAAAAAAATAAACCAGTTTCCAACGATTTAAATATTTGTCGTGAAGGATTAAAAATTGAACGCGTTAGAACACACAAACTTTTAGGTGTCTCGTTTGAAGGAACCCTCAGTTGTACTCCCCATATTGAGAAAATGAAAATCTGCATATCAAGAGCAATAGGGTCATTAAATAAACTCCGGAAATATTTACCTAGTGGTCAAAGTTACAACTGTACTATACACTTGTTTATTCACGACTGCAATGTTGTATACTAGTATGGGGTACAACTACAAAAAGAAATATCAGCAAATTACTAATATTGCAAAAAAAAAAAACGTTCGAATAATTGGAAACCTTCAGAAATATGATCACTCAATGACACTTTTTCGGGAGTATAAGATATTGACTGGAGAGAAAATTATGACCCTAAAGATATCAATCAATATTTTTAACAAGATCAGATAGAGTCAATTACTACAGCAACGGATCCGGGAAACAAGGTCAACTGTTCATTCGGGAAGAGACCACTTGGAAGAAAGGGTAGTACAGGCATTCCATCCTGGTTGCGGGGCGAAGTGGGGGAGGGAGGCCGGATCCGCGGTCTTGAAGGAACGAGTGCTTCACCACAGCGGACGGTTCACCGCCGCTCTTTTAGTTTGCGAGA